GGTTTCACCCCCTTCTCCCCCATTCCCCTCCTTAGCCCCCCCATTCTCGACGCGTATCGCTTGGCCACTACTGCTATATGCATCAGGAAAAAAAAAACAGAGTAAGAAAAACCTCTCTGTTATGTCACAGAGAAAGTCAACGCATCAGGAATAGGAAAAATATAAACGTAAAACGAAATACGCGGTTATTGATGTTCGCGTTTGGTTGTTTCCCCCATCCACGTGGCCAGTAGCGTGAAAATGGGGGGGAGCGGCATTTGACCACTTTGGGACAGCGTCTCTCTTTCGTCTTACCGCGCGTGTGTGTCATTTGTGTGTGTGTGTGTGTGTGTGTGTGTGTGTGTGTGTGTGTCATTTGTGGGCGCATGGCTGGGCTGCCGCGCACTGCCACCGCAAACAGGCGCCACTCGGCGCCACGGCCCGTCTGCTGCCTGTGTGTGCTCTGGGGATCGCCCCGCCCGGCCCCGCCCCGCACCCCTATGATGGATTGCAAGCGAACCCAAAAATAAGGTCACCGCGGTCGTTTGTGCCCCCCTTGCTACCCCCTGCTGCCTTCCTCCACCCCCCCCCACCCTTCTTTTCAACCCACCCTCGCTCTCCACGCGCGGGTGATTTCATACCCACAGGAATAAAGTACCCTGGGCGAAGCGCGCGTGTGTCGTTAATAGTCGTCGCTGCTGACGTACCTTTTCTTCTCTTCGTGGCGGTGGCGTCCCGTCTGTTTTGGTGGACTTCTTCCAACAGACGACACTGCGAAGCCACTCCTTCAGTCGGCGGTATTCTTTAAACAGGAGCCCCGTCCCCGTGCTCAGTTTCGACACGTGTACAGCAAAACAAAATAATAACCAAATTCACATAGTCTTTTTGACACCTGATCGCGACATATTTGTAAGGTGAATACAAAAAAAGAATCTAAATCAAGAATCTATCTTGAAAGCAGATGATACAAATTTAAGAATATGTCTGTTTTCAAATTTTCTCCCGGATTTAGCTGTCATTTGTTTCTGGTTTCTTGTTATTTGCAATTTCAGCGAACAAGCGGCGTTGAAAAGCGCGGGCACAGGGGCCGGTGTCGGATAGTATTGTTGTGCAGGGAGGGGGACGGGGAGCCTATTATTGTTAAGCAGGGTAAGGGTAGGGGCCTGAAGCGACACTCACTCAGGCACCCACCCACCCGGACACGGTTCCGCCAGCGCTAAAGAAATTGTTTTCTGGTCTCCGCTTGATCCCCTTGCCGTTTCGAGAGTAAAAGCTAGCTGACACCTTAAATTTACTTATCTATTCTTTACGTTTAGTCAAAAGGTTTTTAAGGTATCATCTGCTAAAAAATCATGTAAATGACCACTTTGCGGCCAGCGTCCTGCATGCGAAAATTATTCCATACAGTTAATGCAATTTTACAGACATGTGACGACAGGGTGTTTGGCAGCCGTGCGCCGGATGAGTGATCCTATAAACACGTAGACTTCGCTCGTGTGATGTGTGCGAATAAGGTAACGTTTTGTCGACTTTTGTGTAGTGTTTGGCCCGGCGTGTGCTCGTGACGGCTGGCTGAGCCCCCCCGCCCCCGCACCACCGCGGAGCCCACCACCTGCCGGCGGGTGGGGTTCTCTACCCTTCACGCGTATAGAACCATCGATCAGACCGCTTCGAGGGCTCCATCAAGCTGACTACTGGAGCTATTTCTCTGTCAGCCATCGAACAGCCTTGTCCATTTTGCGCTTGGCTCCCTCCTCCCCGCGCCTGGGCTTACACCAAGCGCCGCCGAGTGGTTCGTCTCTGTCGCACGGGGGGCCGGGTGTCAGTGGCGGGGAAGAAAGTCATTTCCTTTGGCACCACGCACGGACGGCGTCGGTGTACACACAACCAGCGTGGCGTGGCGCCGCCGAGCTCCAATCTCTCTTCTTGTTTCTGATCTTTTATCTTGGATGGATACACTGCCACACTGTGCGGTGCGGTATCTGTGTGGTTGGATGTCATACTTCACTCGGTGAAACGATAGGTTGGACTTTGGTGCGTTTGAAGCATTTTAGTGCGTTTCTATTGGGGTACCAATTTTTTAGTGTCTCTGTAAAGGCACTAAAGTTATGATCACCCTAGGAAGGATGTCGAGTCCTAGCTCCGTTTCTCCAGAATTTAGCATGCTTAAACTCCTGTTTCTTTGCCTTCTATTGCCTCTTTGTACACGGTGCATGAATTTAGCGTATAATAGTTTTCGAAACTGAAATAAAATTGTAGATGAAAATGATCTTTTCGAATGTTTACGTTAAGAGTCATTATGTAGTATTTTTCTTTTGTTTGTGAAATACGATAAATTTGTATAATGTGTTAATTAGGAATGAATGAACTAACCTGGCCGCTGCTCTTCCAACGACGTAATTTTGTGCGCGGTATCGCGTCATCGGAACACTCCCGCTTCTCCCCTTCTCTTTACGACTGCAAGGGAAGAGGTGGAATATTATTTGCGTATCAGATTCGAAGGGACAAAAGCAATTAAGGCGAAAGTGCTCCATTGCCAACCCTTTCCCTCCCACTGCCCCCGACCGTGTCCGTCTGTCGGTATGCCTCTCCCTCTCTCTCTCCCAGGATGGTGAAGAGCAAGAGATACGGAGGGAGGTGGGGCCGCGGGAGGGCAGAGGCCACATTGTATAGTGTATTGGGATTGATGGGTGTTTCTTTTTATCTGCAATCCCGGTAAAAGCTCGGCAAGGGGATATAGCGCGAGCGAGAGGGAGAGAGAGAGAGAGAGAGAGTGAGAGATCGAGATGGCATAACCACCACAGAGCTGTTGCGATCTGTTCTGCCTGGCATCAGGCGGCAGCAGGGGCGGGGCCGGGCGGGGCGCCAGAGTGGCATCTGATTAGCGCCCCCGCGCGTTATCTGCGGCTCCTAATGCTGCGGCCGGTGCATCCCCGGATACCTCCCCCCTGGTCCTGCCCCACCCCCCCCCTTTCCCTCACCCCCCCGGCTTGCCGCTGTGTTGGTATTGATTCGTCCTGCGCCTGACCTCTGCGCCGGAGGCCGCCCTGGCTCGCCGCCCTTCTGGCTCGGGGGCCCCCTTCTTACCGCCCCAGCCGAGAACCCCAGGTGCGTCTCCCAGAGTCGGGTCCCCGCGTGGCCAGTCATCTGTCTCTTGTCGCGTGGGCGCGCACCTGTGGGCCCCAAGCAAGGAGAAGGGGAAGGGGGAGGAGGCGAGAAAAAAAATAAGAGTGACATCTTTCTTAAACTGTATTTATTGTATAACAGTAGTATTTAGTAATTTACACAACTTTAAAAGGCCTTTGACGGGTATATTAACACGCTTATTTGGAAGTTACTTATTACTAAGAGTATTAGGTGAATTTTCACACACTTTAGCGGTGTTTATGCCAATGGGGACGTACTACAAAAAAAAAACTTGTGATGAGGATGTCATGGCATGGCTAATTATTTTTACACACACCTCATCATTGGATTCTCGTCATTTCACGAAAATTCATATAACAGATGACGAAAAAATTTGTAATGAGATCGGTTTGCAAAATAATTAGCCATAACATAATTTTTATCTCAATTTTGTTTGCATTGTATGGCATGGCGTGTGGTCAGTGCCGATAAACCCAAAATGGTATCACGTGTTATTTCTCTGTAGTGACTAATCAGAACCTTTGCTTCGAAATCGTGGTGCGGCAAGTAACCGATGACGTGGAGAATAGTTTAAGGGTTTCACAAACAAGCAATCGAGGACCCACTTGAGTCACTGCAGTAAACACGTTAATCTTATCGGGCGCGGATCGTCAGCTGTCAGGCCTGCATTGACACACCTACTGCAGTGGACTTACTAGTGAGATCCAAATAGCCTTCCTCACATGACAATTAAACAAAAACTTAAAGTTACGTGCGTATAAAAATAATAATATAATTAATGTTATCTATGATGTAAATAAATAATACTTGGGTGGTAAGTGCGGTTCACATGACTAGGACTGTTCAGTCGGGACGCCTCATACGAGATGGTGGGTCTCCTTCATCTGCCAGACGCTGTAGCTCTCGATGACCACGGAGCCGCCCTTGGCGTAGAACTCGATGGCGTCCTTTGTGGGGTCCGGGAAGACGACGTCAGTGATGGCGATCTCTCCCTCGCCGAAGAACGCCTCCACCGACCCGTGGTCCACGAGCACGCGGAGCTTGAGCTTGCTGCCCGACTGGAGCGCGAAGGGCGCGTCGTGGCGCCCGGGGAACTTCTCGTGGAAGTTGACCGTGCCCGATTTGGTGCGGTCGACGAACGCCTTGCCCGTGGCGACATCGTAGCCGACCAGGGTCTCCTGGTTCTCGCCGGCGTGCACGCGCACTCCGAACTCCGTGGCGTCCGTGTTGGTGAAGACGACCTCGATGTCGACCGCGCGACCGCGCAGGTCCTTCTTGTGGCTGGCGTCCTTGAGCGTCACCTTGTCCTCCTGCTTGACGGGGCCGCTGCGGATCGAGTCCAGGTAGTTGACGGGCATCTGCGTCAGCCTGACCTTGCCGTCGATGGTCTGGAGCTTGAGCAGACGTGGCGAGGTGAAGGTGTTCCTGAAGTTAGGTCCGGTCGGCGCGAGCTCGGTGTAGATCCAGTTCGACATCCAGCCGATGGAAAACCTCTGCCCGTCGGGTGCGTTGTCCCAGGTGATCGTGGCGTAGTTGTCCATCCCCCAGTCGAGCCAGTCGGTCGTGGTCTCTGCCTTGAACTCCTTGCCGTCGAAGTCACCGATGAAGAACTGGCCCGCCGATCCTGCGACGCGGTTGCCCGGGTTGATGTTGACGATGAGCACCCACTTCTTGTTGTTGGGGTCGCCGTCGACGGCGAGCTCGAACATGTCCGGGCACTCCCAGACGCCGCTCGTCTCGCCCGCCGGCCCGAACGAGCCGACGGCGTCGCCCCAGTTCTTGAGGTCGGTCGACTTGTAGAACTCGAGCTTGTGCTCCGTGGAGCGCTGCACGAGCACGAGCCAGCTGTCGCCGTAGCGCTGCACCTTAGGGTCGCGGAACTCGGGATCGTTCTTGTCCAGCACCGGGTTGTGCGCGTACTTCAGCCACGTCCGGCCCAGGTCGTTGCTGCTCGCGATGTGCTGCGACTGGATGTGCTTGCCGTTGGCATCTTCGTGCTGGCTGAAGGACGTGTACATGGCGATGAGGACTGGCATGTCTGGCGTGGCGCACAGCCCCGAGGAGCAGGCCCAGTCCACCACCACCGAGCCGGAGAAGATCTGCTCGTCGGCCGTGTAGGGGATGGCCAGCGGCAGCTCGGTCCAGTGCACCATGTCCGTGCTCACGGCGTGGCCCCAGGACATGTTGCCGTGGAGGATCGTCTCGTAGTCGTGCTGGTAGAAGAGGTGGTACTCTCCTGTGAGAGGAAGGGAAAAAGTGCATCAGACAATGTGTCGCGTCCGGGATTTAGTTGTCTAGCGTTGTAATTGAAGAAAAAAAAACTGATTATGTTTCAGCATGTGTAACTGAAAAATAGCACACCTTTATAGTAAACGAGCCCGTTGGGGTCGTTGACCCATCCGCTCTTGGGCGTGTAGTGGTAGGCGGGGCGCAGAGGGTCGAGCGGCGGCGGCGGCGGCGACGGCGACGGCGGCGGCGACGGCGGCGGCGACGGCGACACCGTGTCCTCCTCGTCGCACAGCGGCAGCGTAGAGTACATGATGGCCACCGTGATGCCGGCCACCACCGCGGCCACCACCGCGCCCACCAGGGTATGGCTCACTGCGGGTCGCATGTTCGGGCTGGGCTGCTGCACACACTGAGTCCTGCAGGGCGCGGCCCGGGTCTATAAGTACTGAAGGAACGCAACCTCTTATCTTCTTGGCGTCAGCCTTGACCAAACGAATAAATATAATCAAACGGCCAACTAACTGTACTATGTTCCCTTGTTTTTATCCCTCTCACAGGATGTGGAGTTTTTTTTTTTTTTTGTTTTTGTTTTTTGCTGTGCTGCTTTAATCAAAATCTCAATCTCTTGAAACTATACGCCGAGTGATCCACTATATGATAATATGAAACGACTTTTTAGCTGCGTTAGTCGTCAACCCTGCCTCTGAAATCCATCCGAATCATTAACAAATTTTCCGGAACACTGGAGCACCACACCAGGTTTTTTTGAAATTATGCGTGACAGGTCATGGTGGTTGTTTTTAGAAGTGTACTATTTTCATGAAACTATCCAAAGTTTTTTGCTCACTCAATTTTAAAATGATGAATGTGGTGACCAAACCGACCAAAATTATTCAGGACCAAATGACCATGATATCATCATTTATGTAACAAAGAACATGGCAGTCACGTACCTAAAATTACCCAACGTTTTACGTCTTATGACGTCTAGACTAGAGAAGTTTCCTGCAGTGAATCATGAATCTCAGCGGTGAATACACATGCACCCACGTCGCCCACATCGCGTCGCACCTGTCTAGGACGTGCGTCACTGTCATATCTGGACTCTAATGGACCTGCATTCACTGCCCAAACGTTTGTTAAAGATAGCGTGGTGCGCATCACCAAACAGGAAAGTGATTGCACGTCCCTTGTCCGTGCATGTGGTACAGTATAACTACGAAAGTGCGCGGCGTGAATCAGCCACCTGGTGTAAATACACACGGTAAGGTACCAAACGCAACGTCTTCTATACTGTTGTAAAGACACTCACAGTGCGTTGTGATCGCGCTGCGTGGGTGGGCTGGCTGCTCGCCGCTGCTGGCGCGCGCCGACTGCTGCGACTAACGTGGGAATGGATTTGTCTGGCCACGCCTGCGCCGCCCCGCCAGGCGCGCGCGCGTTTGAAAAGCCTCTCCAGCGACAGGCGTGCCGTTTCCGTCTCTCCCGCGACCGTGACGGCTGGTGCGAGGAGAGCTGCTGACGAGGAACGCATTCGTTTGCCACTTCGGACGCTTGCTCTCTCTCTCTCTCTTTCTTACCGTGTCAACAGAGCACTTGAGTACCCCCTCCCCCTTCCCTCTCCTCCACGATTTTCATAGACGAGCGCGCATAGGTATATAGAGAGTCCTGTCGCACGTCGTGTTGTGTGCCTCGCGTCGAACAAAGGGGCCCTTTATGGTGTGCGGCAAGGTCAGGGTCGATACAAAGAAACTTACCGTATCGTAATCGCCTGAGCTGTTGCGGGGCAAACATGGCAGAAAGAGGGGAGGGGAGACGGGAGAACAGAAATGAAATGCCTGGCTGGCAAGTTCCGGTTTACCTTCCGGGTTACCTTCCGGGTTTCCTTTCGGGTTACTGCAAGTTGAATACTTAGTGTACAACTCCTTACTTGTACACTTTTTAGGGGGCAACCCGACATGTCCACAGTATATCTGTCAGCAACCGTTTGGACGTGAATGATACCAGTTCCGTAAATAAGTCCAATCGTGAAGTGCTCAACCGAGGAGTTGCACACTTGCAAGTGCACACCTTACCGAGTTGCCGAGTTGAACACTTGTAAGTATTCAATTTGAAGTTGCACACTTGCAAAGATTTAACTTGCAGTTGCACACTGAGTTTATTACTGCAATCAAAAAAGCATGTACAAATCATAAAATCTTGCGAGATATTCTGAAAAATAAACAGCATTAAGATATTCATGGTGCTAGTCGGATTTTGGAACAATCCTAGCATCTGCAACCGAGCATGTGTAGTCGTCGTCAGCTTTGCCAAACATTGCTCGAACTCTATACCGTCCATAAGGTAGGATAGGAACATTTGGAAAACTCCAGTCCACTGAAGCATTGTTGACCTCGTAAACACCCTGTAAATAAAAGTCATCACAGCCTTTTCATTTATGCATATTTTCTGTTTAAAGCCACAATTGTCACTTTCCACTCGTAAAAAAAAATACCAGAAAAATAAATTCGTAACATTAAGACGACACTGAAGAAGCAATAATTGCTTCTTTAAATCTATCTTTAAAGATAGGACTTAGAGAATTTAAATGACTTTGCACATGCATGTAATATTTGTACCAGTAGAAAGACATTACTAATTCCAAATGAATAGTACCAGCGCTGGTGAGAACAAGCCATAAGTCACTATTTGCATCAACATCTCCTTAAAAGGCATTTAGTCCTACTATTCTTTTTCTAATGAAGATCATACTTGCTTTAAGTATACTTACAGGTTTAAAACAGCACGCGCCTTTCACTTCTCTTTTCTTTAAAACCTGCTCGTAATATCCGGGAGCGTTGTCTTTAAGAGCCCGACATCCATTCTTAATAAAATTGAAGACAAAGGCGTTTTCCTTCCATTGGTTATTTGAACGAGTATCTAGAATTACTTTGAACTGTTATAAAAGGAGTATTTTTGGTAAATAATCGATTATTTTTCGCCTTCATTCGGTGTTTTGTCTACAAGTGTGACACTAAATACTTAAAATGCGCGACGAGGTGTTTTATACACACACAAAGTTTTGTGACGGTTGGAGGAAAGTTTACCAAATGTCTGATTTATTAACCCTCGTACCTCGTACAGTCAAAACCTTGTATTGTGAGCCTAATTTTGTAGTGGCTTCACCATATGCAGGCTTGTACACTGGAAACACAAATGTTACCGAGGGAACGTTTCATCATGTGACCAAGCCAGGTAATGTTTCCTGATGCAACCTACCCCATGCAAAAGGATAGGGCCATCACAAACAGGTTGCATCACCAAACGGTTCCATATTTGGATGCGTCAAGAAACGTTCGGTAACATTAGTTTTTCCAGTGGAGGCGCGTTGTCCATTGTAGCTAACCACGGCCCAGTTTACGGCCCTGAGCGAATTAGCACCCGCACATCGGCAAGCGGTAGCGGTACAGTATAACTGTGTACGTGGTTAGTTAGCCACCTGGTATACTTGATAACACAAAGGAGTGTTTGTATATAACACACTTCCCGTTACATTACCTGTCAGGTGTAGCGCGCAAATGAGTGGCGTAGCTTGTTGTCCACCATTTTGTGTGTGACATATGGCTGACATACACACCCCTGTGTGGCCACTTTGTAAGCGTCACTTGTAAGCGTTTAATGTCACACAATACTATTTGCAATGTCTTACCCAGCAGCTGTCATCAAAAGTTCCTAAGGTAGCCGTCACATTACCTGTCAGGCGTTGCAACTCTTTTGGTTTATATGGGTTAAAGTGAGTAACTCGGAGATTCCATGTCCAAGGAAGTGGCCGGTTGTCGGGTTGACAATTGTAAAAGCGTTCCACAAAAGCAGTGTAAGGGCCCTATTCGAAAAAGAAATATGAAACCTGCTACCGCTTAGGGCAGTGACAACAGACACCGTATTTTAAAGCGGCTTTCTTTTCCAAAACGTATTACTTAACTTACTATCACTGAGTTGATGCCTTTTCCTTGGATGCCCTTGCCGCAAGTTATGAGTGCTAGGGTCATGAGTATAACTGCCATGCTCTCTCATCGAGATTCTAGCAGTTGAGCGGCACCAGAAAGGCGACTGGCGGCCGTGGTGGTAATCACTCTGCTTTCTCTCTGGAGTCCCATGAGCTGCGGGCGGCCGTACGCGGCCATCTGGTACCTGGCTGACGTACAGTAGTAATTGATACTGGAACAGGTCGAGCGATCGTCAGATAATGTTTGCGGCGCAACAGTATTTCCGGAGTTGGTCTAGTGGAAAGCATCGGCCCATCGTGACTGTGCCTCGCGTGAGATGCGATTGTATGGCGTGGCGTGTGCACTGTATAAGATAAACTACCGGATTAAGTGGTGTCACGATGAGCGTGGGCGCCAGGTGCCTGGCATAAAAAAGTGGCATCGGAAAACAGAACTGCCCTTGCTCTCTAACAACAACACCACAACACGCATGACACGACGTGGAGGAGGAATGGGTTGCATTATCGATGGGCCCTGCGTTTGGCATGTCACGCCTTATCGCACCTTGGAGTCCGTTATCTTGTTATTTCAAATAGTAAGTCGAGTGGCGCTTAGCGGCCGCCTTAGTAACAACGCCGTGGTCCCACCACCGGGGATCCTGCTCTAGAGATGACTCCTTCCGCCTCCCTCCATAGCGTTGACAAATGCGCTGCACGCCGCGCGAGCCCCCCCCCCCTCT